AGCTCAGCTCGGCCTGAGCCCCGCTGTGTGCAGGGAAGCATGACAGGATCCCGGGGACAACGGGCCGGAGCAAGCATCACCACGGACCTGCCTCCAATGCGGGCTCTACATATACAGCCAGATCTGCATTGTGTTCAGTGAGATCTGAAAAGGGCCGTTATAAATCAAGTGCATGCAGACAGTGCGCCCGCATTTCCTGCTTATGTCCTGGTTGGTTGCTCCTCCCTATCACCAGCCCTGCTCAGGTGCCTCCGTGTCTCCCCAGACCTGCCCTTTCCACCTGCTGAGGACCCCGGGCATCAGCCAGAACAACCCTGATGCCAGCACTGGCTTTGCTGGCCCTGCTGGCAGCCCCCCTGGGTGAGCGCCTGCTGCCATGGGAAGCAGGGGGATGCAGAGGCAGGGAGGGAGGGTGCATTAGCTAACACGGTGTGCATTTCTCCATTAGCTGTCCTGTCCCAGGTGTCATTGAAAGAGTCTGTCCCTAGGGTGGTGATGCCTGGACAGACCCTCAGTTGAGCTGCATATCATATGTAGTGTATTCACTCAGCGCCGGGACAGGGCGGGAGTGGGTCGGAGGTATCTGGAGTGGTGGAGACGCTAGATACACACCACTGTTTTCCAAAGCTGCCTCACCATCGGCACAGACACCTCCAGCAGCCAAGTCACCCGCGCCCAACCGGGCTCCAGCCTGCAGACTCGGCCCGGTGTTACTGTGCGAGACGCACGGGGAGTGAAAACCCACGAGAGCTGCACAAAAACCAGCATAATGGTTGGCTGGGGCTGTAGCCTCTTCAGGTGAGAGCTGGGCTCAGGGTGGGAAGAGGGCAATCTTTGTGAATCGGTCTCTGTGACGGGCACTGGGGTGTACCTGTCCCATCAAAAGGAGAACCTGCCTGAGAAGCAGCTTCCAGGTGAAGGGGGAGGCCTTTCTGGTGGTGACTCTCCGCTGGCTGCCTGGCACAGAACTGGCCATCAGGACTCCAGGACTCTACACTTGTGCCAAGCCTGCCCCGCAGACCTGTATGGGGCCCTACCACCATGCAGAACAAGGCCTGAGTGCTGCACATGCCAGATCAAGCCCATTCCCCAGCCCTCTCCCCAACCTCAATCAAGCCCCATATAAAATACTCATGCACCAGCTGAAGTCACAGCCTTCCCCTGGGCCCACCCACACAAGCTGGGTCCGAGGGGTGGTGTGGAAGACGGGCAGTGTCAATACCCCATTACTTTGAACCCACACATTTTGCACCCACCGGCACACGCTCTGGATGCAGAGCCCTTGGGGGTCTGGTTACATACCAGCCTCAACTCAGTCTGGGCCTGCAATGAGCTCCCCAAGAGGGGACCAGGTGACCTGGGTGGACCATTCAGAGTCACAAGCCCCTGAGTGGCAGGCTGCAAAACTGTGCCACTTTCTGCAGGGCCTTGGGCTGCGAAAGCATTGCTGGGTAACACTGCTTGTGGCTGGACTGTTCTGATGTGGGTTAACCGTATTATTGTCTTAGTCCCCCTGGACCATATCGATCTCTCTCCATATCAATCCTGCATTCACCCTACCAGGAGTCCAGAGTTTAACCGGTTGCATCTTTTTCCAAGGTCACGACAGCAACTCCCTAACACAGCAGCTACCCAGAGAGACAGGGGAGGAGCACAGGGCAAGACTGGGAGACTCTGGAGGGGGTTGCTCTACCCATTAGCCCCTATAGTTGTGCCTTTCATCTCCTGGCTCCACAAACATGCTGAGACAGCTGCCACCATACATTATGGAAGTGTCCAGCCCCTTCTCATGTCAGAGCACATCACAAATGCCCTCTTCCTCTAGCACCCATGGGTGCATGCTCTCCAGCTGTCACAGAGGCTTGTGGGAGCTTGGTCTTCTCAGCAAGTTGAAGGGGGACATCTCATTCCTTAGGGGAGGGCAACAATCCCACTGGGCCTCCTGCAACACCCCTGCTCCAGCAGTACCTTGTCCAGGTGGAGGACTCCTGGAAACACACTGCTGCTGCCATCAGTTGTGCTGAGACACACACCCCTGCCTGAGTGACAGCTCGGCCACTGGCATCATCCCCTGCCACAGGCTCTTGTCTCCCTCGACACAGGCTCTTGTCTCCCTCTGACTGGAGCTCCCCATGCCCGCCTGTCTCAGGTCTCCTGCCCTGAGGGGAGCACTCCCTGGGGCTGCTGGAAACCTCTTGCTGGGGCAGGAACAGAGCCTGGGACAGAGGTGGGTCCAGGGTGCAGAGCACTGGTGTGTTGGGGCTGGTGAATGGAAGGAGACTTAGTTTTGTGTACGGGGTTGCAGCTTCTTGCCCTGCCCCTCCCCGTCCCCAACCCATTGTCCATCCACCTACGTCCATGCTCCCCCACCCCTGCTCTAACTACTATGCCCTCCTCACCTCCCACAGCTCGGCAGGGAGCCCAGCAGTCCAGGCACCCAAGCCCTGCCTACTCTAACCTCTGCTTCCTCCCCAAGACCACTTCACTCTAGGTCACTTGGCACTCAGTGGTCTCAGTGCAAGTTGGTGCACACTGAGACCACCTACCCAGGCTGGCCCTGGCAGCCCAAACCCATGTCCTGGGCTCCTGCCCTTCATCACAGCTGAGGGGGTCCTGCCCACTGGTCTCAAGTGGCAGCACTGCAGGGTGTGCAAG